CCCACTCGAATTTTCAGTAATTCTTTTCATCATTATTGATCCAGGATGGCCCAAATGGCCATGCCAAAGCACAAATATTTGAATCAGTAAACTTCTGGTTTACGATAGAGTGTGCTTCAACTGTACTAATATTTGAATAGTATAAGCCAGAAGATAAAGTTGATAACTTTTCTACAATGCACTCCTGGCTAGAAACATTCTTTGTAATACAAAGATATTCCATATTCATTTCATCTATCGTCTCAACATGATACCCATTTCGGCGGATATCTATAAAACTCAACAAGTTTTTTTAGGACTTGGAGAAGAATAATGCATTGTCTATTATAAGTTTTGTTCCCTTAGACAGAAATATAGTGGCTCTTTCGTAACCTTCAATCAAACTTATATTACCAGAAATTGTTGAAACATTTGTTTCTTCCTTATGCAAATAAGAAAAGTATTTCTGATATTTGAATATGGCATGAGTTATTCCACTATCAATTACACAAATATTTTCATGATTGGTCTTTGATCCAAACATAATTTGAAGATTATCCATATTCTTCAAAATGACATAAACAAAATAAATATGATAGTAAACATCATTATCAAAGTATAACTTTTATTTATGTATAACAATTACATAACCATACTATCTACTACAAACAATAAAAATTAAAATATTTACATTTCTACAGATTCATCACCGATCACATGACTTGTTTCTCCTTTCGGGAGTGTAAAGTAATTAGCTACATCCAAATGCATGAAGTCTAAATTATCTTCAGAAATAAAATTTGCTTCAACATTTTTCTCTGTCTTCTTCAGGGAGGCTTGATACAACTCAATCAGGTACTTTGACGTATGACAGGTACATGACCAGTGCCATTTTCCTCCACTTCTATAGCATGCATTTTCTGTCTTTGCTACTTGCATCGCTTCATGCTTTTATTCCTCTCTTTTTCCACTGATGGTGGTGAGGAAGGTTCTTTGGTGCATTATTATTATCATGACTAAAGTTTCTTCCCCAACCACGGCCATGACCACGACTGGGGCCACATCCTCTTCCGCGCTTAGCTCGGTGGAAGTTCGTCTCATTCACTTCAGGGAATGGACAAGAACCAGTAGGTCGGCTTTCATGGTTTTTCATTAATATCCCATTATGTTGCTCGGCTACAAGAAGATGTGAGATAAGTTCAAAATATTTTTTGAATCCCATCTCTCGATATTGCTGCTGCAGGAGCATATTCGAGGCATGAAAAGTGGTAAAAAAAAAAATTCAACATATCATGATCAGTAATATTATCACCACATAATTTTTAGTGTTTTAAAAGGCATTTCTGAGACTCGTCCGGGGCTCGCCCCTGGGCGGGAGACTTGCAAAACGCCCTGGGGCTCATGTATGGGGATTAGTTCTGTGAGGCTTACGCCCCAAGCGCCCGACCGTGCGCCCTAAACATTCCTAACGTCTNGTTTTCTTCAATTTTTATGTAATTTTACATGTTTATAAATATTTACTGTTATTATATTATTTTATAATATATTAAAAATTAAATACCTATGGCCCCGTGCCTCGGGGCTTACGTCTCATTGAGGCATATGTGAAATGCCCCGCCTTACGCCCCACGCCTTTTAAAATACTGATAATTTCAATTTGGAAATAATTCANGTGGTAAAAGTTTTCTCCAACATATCATGATCAGTAATATTATCACCACATAGTTTCAATTGGGAAATAAATCTGAACATAGCATAATTATACTCACTGATAGATTTAAAATCTTGTAGCCTTAGATGAGTCCAATCATAACGTGTCTGTGGAAGAACGACCATCTTCAGGTGGTCATATCTATCTTTCAAATTATTCCACAGTATGACTGGATCTTTAATAGTGAGATATTCCGTTTTCAAGCCTTCATCAAGGTGATGACGTAGGAATATCATTGCTTTGGCACGGTCTTGGTTTGATGCTTGATTTTTGTCCTTGATGGTGTCTGCCAGACCCATTGCATCAAGATGAATTTCAGCATCAAGCACCCAAGACATGTAGTTTTTGCCCGATATATCCAGGGCTACAAATTCAAGTTTAGAAAGATTTGACATTATTTAGAAAAAGAAAGTTCGTACCTATGATACTTTTAAAGTATTTGCTCGAGATGACAGAGTCTCGTGCTGATAACGTGTTATAAAATAAAGACAAGTATAGAGAGAAACTGATATATTATTCAATTTCAAACTGATGTACATAATGAACTGAAATCTCCTCTATTTATAGAAGAAAGGAAGCTGATGTGTAAGCTGCTACTGCAAGCTGTTGTGTAAGCTACTACTCCAAGCTGTTGTGTAAGCTGCTATTGTACCGGATATATGTAATCTTCTATCGGGGGTAATATTTATCTATAACGGAGTACCGAAAGGATAAGCTCATTGTACCAGATATAGATAATCTTCTATCGAGGGTAATATTTATCCATAATGGAGTACCGAAAGGATAAGCTTTTTCAGGAGGCTTATTTCCAATAGAGTACTAAATATTTAAATATATTTACGGCGGAGTCTCATATGGATAAGCTTTTTTAGGAAATTTATTTACAACGTAGTATTAAAGAATATCCATAATATAATATATTTATAACATAAGGATCCTTTTTATTGTGTTTCAAAAAATTGTTAGGTTTTTGAGACAATTCATTTATTAACACCTAGTCGAAAAAGAAATTTTTATTAACACTTTCAATGATAATGATCCCACGCCAATATACTGGTGTATTTGGAGGTCTACGTATGAAACAATCAAATCAGTTATTCGACCACTCAATTTTTTATGTGTACTACCGCTACTACATGCTCATTCTATTACATGTAATAATTTATAATCTTGTCTAATTTTATATTATCCTACATTAATCTTAATATTCATATTTTTAAATATTTTTTATTTTTATATATTGGACCTTGGAAGCCCAAATTCACTTCCACAAAAAATTATAGTAGTAACTAGTAGTAGAGCCGTAAATATCGGCTTCGCCCAACAGTAGTAACTAGTAGTAGAGCCGTTATTATGGATTTGGCTCAGCCCAACCCGTGATTTAGTAGGGTTTGGCTAAAACTTTTGGAAGCCATTTAAAAATAAGGCTTTTAAGCTCGACCCGAGTAAGCCCGTGGCCCGTGAGGCTTAACTAAGGCTGTGCTGGACCGGCCCATGGGCCTAATAAAAATATTTATTTAAATATATAAAATAATAAAAAGTATATTACACTGTAGCAACGGAATCAACATTTAGCATTGATGAGCGTGTTCTTACCAAGTATAGAAGTTGCATCCATCTTGAAAATATCCAAACACTTGTTACTACTCGAAATTGGTTGTACGACTTTTCCCAAACTCAAAACTGGTAATTTCTTTTTTATGTGAATTTGAATATTATTAGTTTTTAAAATTTAATTATTCTTAATATTTAACTAATTAATATTGCATATAAATTGTAGATGAAAGTGAAGATGTTAATACAACCTTGTCACAAGCGGATTCAAATGTGTTTGATGAAGATGATGTGTTAGATATCCCATAAGTATTATGGACGTTCTCTTGAATAGTTTATTTTGAGTTTTGACTTTTAGTGAATGAAATATAGTCTTTTACTTTTTAGTGTTTATTGTGATATATTGAAACAGTATAAAAAGTTATTAAGTTTTATAAAAAATTTTCAATAAGATATATTTTAACTTTAAATATTTATCTTTTTTAGGTTAGTACTTTTAAGAAAAGATATAAAATTATATTTTAAAAATGATGGGCCAGTCCGTGGAGGCCCGCAACCCATATAGGACTGGGGTGGACTAACTATTATAAGGCCCATCAAAATGATGGGCTAGCCCGTCAATTGCTAAAGCCCATATAGGCAAGATTGAGCTAGTCCGACACAGCCCATATTGACAACTCTAACTAGTAGTAGAGCTTATTCTGCTCGATTAGTTAATGACAAAGTAAAATTGACTAATTTTATTATGTGGCACAGGGGATAAACTAATCGTTAGACTAAATTTGTTCAGTGACACTAACGATAAACTAATTTATTATTTATTCGATTGAGAGACTTGCAAATCGTATTTACATAAATACAATTTTCACATTTTAAACCCTATAACTAGAGCTCTCAAATGTGGGGGGTGGGGAGTGGGGTGGGGGGACTAGCTCAGCCCAACTCACATGGGCTTTAGCAATTAATGGGTTGGGCTGGACTAGCACACCATTTTGATGGGCCTTATAAGGGTCAGCCCAACCCAGTCCTATATGGGCTGCGGGCCCTCACGGGCCGGCCCATTATTTTTAAAAAATATAATTTTATATTTTTTATTTAAGTTCTAACCTAAAAAAGATAAATATTTAAAAGTTAAAAAAATCTTATTGGAAAAATTTCACAAAACTTAATAACTTTTTATACTGTTCCAATATATCACAATAAATACTAAAAAAAGTAAAAGACAAGACTTTATTTCATTCACTAAAAATCAAAACTCAAAACAAATTATTCAAGAGAACGTCCATGACGCTTATGGGATATCCAACATATCATCTTCATCATACACATTTGAATGCGCTTGTGAGAAGGTTATCTTAATATCTTCACTTTCATCTATATCTACAATACGTATACAATATTAATTAGTTAAATATTAAGAATAATTAAATTTTTAAAACTAATTAACGTTTTAAGACTTTGATCTTTTAATATGATGACCTTAATAAACTTTAAGCTTGAGATACTCTTCTTCTTATTTTTTATGTCATATACTTTTTATATTTTAAATATATATTTTTATTAGGCTCGCGGGCCACGGACTTACTCGGACCGAACTTAAAAGCCTCGTCTTTAAATGAACTCCAAAAATTCTAACCCAATCCTGCTAAATCACGGGTTGAGCTATACTGGCCCAACGGGCCAAGCCTATTGACGGCTCTACCTTTAACGTTATTGGGGGTATAATTTCGAAAAATGAAAAAAGATAAAAAGATTGGGAAGAAATTTCCCAGCATAATGTAAAATGTGAGGAAAGTAGGGAAAATAAGGGGGGCGGGAAGTTTTCTCCAGTTTCTTCTCTCAAAAGCTTCCATCGACAGACTACAGTGGGAGGGAAAGCAAAGCAGTTTTCCTGTCGTCAATGGGGTCAGCAAGTCCAAAACACACCTGCCTCAAACTGGAAATTCCCAGCAAGACGCAGAGGGAGCGAATATTCGTTAAGGGCACGTGGTTTTCTTCTCACTTTGACCTCTTCATCACTGACGGTCTCGAAGCTTGGACTTGCCTTGGTATTTTCCCTTTTATTCAAACTCAAAGTTACATCCCCAATTTGTTTAATTTATCTCCTGAACTTAGTTTAATTGCGATTCTTCACATTTACTTCGTAATTATTGGGGTTTTTTCCGTGTAGCGTCGGAGGAAGAGGTAGAAGATAGAGCATCTCAGTGGGATCAACCCGTTTCTGAGTATATTGATTTGGGTGAAAAGTATTTGGGACTTCAACAGCCCGGCTCTGTTTATGGCTTTGATGATGCTGGCTCTGGGCATAAAAGGGTCAGCTTTCTTAATTTTCATTTTCATTTTTACCTAGTCCATTGGTCATTTCTATATTATTTTGAGCACACAAAGAGGTATAGTTGTTGCAAACTTTATTTTTCTGATTCCTGAGTTGATTTGTGATTTCCACTAGCTGTCTATTATAGGCTTACTCCTAGGGTACACCTAGGCCTGATTCGATTGATGAATAATAACCCAGACTTAGTTGGAATTAGGGAAAAGCATGAGGTGCTCTCTGCCTCCTTAACATGCGGACACAAACATGAAGTGTAACAGCTTGTTTGGATGGTTGTTACCTATTGTATTGTATTGTTTGTTACTTTAAATACAATATTTATTTTGATGTTTACTTAAATTTTATTGTATCATATTGTTAAATCCGTCATTACGTAATGATGAAATGTGTCACTTTATATAACGACTTATTTGGTATGGTCGCATCGTTACCTTATTTTTTTCTCTCGTCTTAAATAATCTTATTTTATCCTTTACCCTACCTATTTATATAATAATTCTACCTCGTACCCTACTTTTTTTTGTTTGTTTGTAATATTACAAATTTACTATTCATATTATTGGTGCTTGACATCATGAAATGACGGGAAATGATACAATCGATCCAAACATTGTATTCATCAAAACAATACAGTACAATATAATACAATACAATACGATACATTATGAAACGACATATAACAACCATCCAAACAAGCTGTAAGTTGAAAAATTCTATACCTTCACTATAGTTCATTCTCATAGTTTCTACTTGCTCTTAGACTACTATTGACCAGCTTCCCGAGGCCATCTTGGTCTAAACAGACATGGTGCTGTCAGTTTGCACTTATTGAAACACCCATCATCAGAGAGATGTATTGTAGAACAAAATATGGAAGAGGGTGGGAACAGCTAGAAGCCTTGACTAAAGCTATGATTTTGGCCATATACACTAATTCTTCAGATTGATGTTTCTTGCTTCTTAGACACGTTCAATAGTTTTGTGGTGTTCCATATCTTGATGGTCAAATCTTGCATATATTTCTTTTAATTGCTTGGTGAGTATCCTAAAGAGCAAAAGATTTGTCTATTGTGAAGTTAGTGTAGCTGAGGATGTTTACTTTTATTTATGATACTATTGTGAGTTTGAATAGCTATGACGTGCTTCCATGTATCCCAATACTTTCTTTTGATCTTTGTAGCTTTCCTGGACATTTGAGAAAGAAGGCACAAAGCTGGAATGGCGGTGGAAATGCCAACTGTCTCCTAATAGCAAGAAAACTACGGCAGACATCTTGGACTTTCTCATGGATGCAAACATTAGACTGAGTGTAAGGATCTTGATTCCAGTACTGCCTCTTATTCACAAAATTTTAATACAATTTTGCAGTTTAATTCTATTCTATTGATCTGTCATCTAATTATCTATTTGCTGATAACCAGATAAAGTTAAGTGATTAGGATCTTTTATGCATAACATGTTTTACTGCCATTGTTAACTTTCGGCCATGGGTGATGATGGAAAACTGTTCTTAGAAATGTTGGCGGAGGATATAGTACTTCTGCATGAGTTCTTATAGTTTCCTATTGTATTCTTGTTGATTCGAATGGTTTGACAATGGTTAGTTGCACTGATACTGCATGGTTGGTTTTCCCCCATGATTTTCTAGATGATACTGGTGCTACTTTACTAAGAAAGTTGAGATTTGTATCCATTCAAGCTTGGTGCCTGGTTATATCTTGGAGCATGAAAGTGAAATCATATTGGACCGGTAGATCACCTGCAATACGATATGAGAATATGCTTGGAACTTTGTGATTTTTCACTCTTACTGGACAGTAGGTTGCGACATTTTCCCATCTGAATATGCCCTGACATTTGTAAAGAAGGGGAATTGTGTATCTCTGTCCCTAGGAGACTTATTTCAGGACAGCACTAAATTCATCCTCATCTTGAATAATTGAATATAAAGAGAACAATCTGAAGACATCCTCATTTCTGGTGGTGTTACCTATCCTCTTGTTAAATGATTTCCTTTTTTCTTCTTCCCGGTGCAAGGAAAAAATATTATATATATAATATTCTATATTCAGAGAAATATTCAAGCTACTACAGCTTCAATTCCTGCTTTTGCATTACCAGCATATCATACCTATAATATTTAACATGGTAAATTGAAATGTTTTCTGTCATCTTGATTCTCTTATCTTTGCTTTAGAAAATGTCAGCACTCTTCTTTCCTTCCATCTAGACAGCAATCTATATGGTTCTGTAGTTAGTATGTGCTCACAATTTTTTAATTTGATTGAAAAAGGATGAGGTTTTCGGTCAATTCATGTTGAGACACCATTTTGAAAATATTAATTACGATCTGTTTGTTTCATCTAAAAGTTCTATGTACATGGTTCTGCGGTGTGAAAGCCCTTGCCAGTTTATTTGATTTAACTTCTCACGAGTTTATTTGATTTTAATAGGACGAGGTTGTCAGTAAAACTCAATCATTTGAGAGGCTGAGAGAGGAGGCTGAAAAATGTTTAACACAAAGCGAGAAACTCAGCAAAGAGAAAGAAGAATTTGAATCTGCAATATATGCAAAGGTGCTGTTTTCAGTCCAAGCACTAAGATCTTTTATTATTTCTCAGGTTGGTTGCGATATATTAATTTTTGTGATCTTTCTTTAACATCGTACAAGGTATATTCTGCTACCCTTTGTTTTCTTGGCAGTGGTTTAATTAGGCTTAGGAGTAGAACATCCCAAAAGAGTTGGTTTATAATTGGTCATGACTGTGGTCCTTTTACTTCCAGTTTGTCGGAGTCCTGAATTCAAAGAAGAAAAAACTCAGAGAACTTCGCGATAAGCTCTCAAAACAGGGACCTGCTGTTCAAGAGCCGGTAGAAGAGGACGACACACAATCTACAGACAGAACTGAGACCTTTGATGAGGGAAGTGATGACGAAAAAAGCGGGGAGGAGGTTGAGAAGGAAGATGTTGGCACTTCGTCAAAAAAGCAAGATGTTGGCACTTCTAAAGATGTTCCAGCCAGAAGGGGAAGGGGTCGTGGTCGAAAGAGAAAGTAAATATCCAAGAAGCAGCACTAGCGCCATTTACAGTATCTTAATCATCCTTGTTTTTTGGCCTCTTTATCTGAATGCTTTTAATTTTATCTTTCTTTTCATGGAGAATGAGGATGTATATACAATGTTGAACTTGTGAATATTTCAAGCACCCGTTTGGCCAGTCTTTTTTCCCCTTATCGGTAGTTCCGTAGCAAGTTGTTTCGTACGTTTTCTAGGATCAGATAGAAGCACCACCCCAGAATTGATCCTTCTTTTCTTCTTACTTCCAACTAAGTCCAAGGCGAGGACCCTTTAATTGACGATGCGTTCCGTCGTTAGCAAGCGGTGGCCGACAAGGCCCCATTTGATTCAATTCATATATTAGCCCACTATGAGTCTACTACATTTTATTTTAATAATAATTATATATAATTAGATAATAATAATAATAATAATAATAATAATAATAATAATAATAATAAAGTATATCATTCGTGTCTTTGTTACAACACAGTTTGGTTGAGTGCCTAGTAGGGGAATTGGTTTCATTTGCTACGCTTTATGCGCCTGGTTTTCTGGCCAATCATGTTAGATAAGTGACGAGCGCAAAACACACACTTAAATTGTGCTCGCTAGTCAAAGATAATATAGTATAATATCGTGTCCACATGGATTGCACTTAAACAGTGTTCTCGTAGTTTCTAACTTGATTGCTATCCAGGAGGATCAACAATGGAGATTTATATGATTTCTAACTACTATTAACTAAGAACCTAAAGCTATTGACTAATGACAATCGCAACAAAGGTAAGCAAGGAAGTAATCAATGGGAGAAAATAGAGGTTGATAGGATATGTGTAAATAATTGTTCGAGATCAAACTCTAGATAATTCACTTCTAATGTTCAAGTGAGTCTCTCGAATTCACTTAATTATCAGTACAATTGTTTAGTAGAAACTCCTCTCTCAATTAAGTCTCAACCTCACAATATGAACCAATTTAAGCTCTGTGAAGATATGCAAGAATGCGTAGTGGATTGGTCTTTTAGGAGAACCTCTCTCGATTATCCTACTAACTAGGTTTAATCAATGATTCAACTAGCCTCTTTCGATTACTTAGAAGAATCTATGAACTCAACCAACAATATAATGCAATGATATCACAAGTTATGCTTCTTTCGATTACAAGAACAAGTGAATATAGATGCAATAATTAATTCTTCCAAAAACGATTCAAATACATAAAAATAGAGTTATAATCCACAAACAATTATCAATACACCAAATCCATCAAAACCCAAAAGGATCTACTCCATAGACATGGAGAGTTCTTCACAAATGTAATTAAAGTCTAGGAAAACATAGATTCAATCCAAACCCGGATCTTGAGTGAGGAAGGAATGATGAAATCTTTGTGCTTGTGTTCTTCCCACTCCTCCTAAGCCTCCTTAGGTCGAAAATCTATCAAAAGCCCCGAAAATGATATTTTTTCGTGTATTTCAGCCGTCCCACAATAATCCCCGGACGAAATTACCCCTTTTTAGCGGAAATGGGAAGATACTCTCGCATTTTTGTACTACCGTGCTGCATGCCGCGCCGCCCCATGCAGCGCGCTTGTGGACAATTCCATAACGATTTGCAAAATGAGTTGTGGGCATATTTTGCACTGCCGCGCTGCCCCCATGTGGCCCGACTATGCATTTTTCTTAGAGTAGTTCGTTTCTCCAATTTTTGATATCCGGACTTGGTCCTCGACCCCCGAACGCGATCCCGGTTTAATCCCTTGGGCTCCTACTCATATTTCAAAGCTCCAAATAGCTCGAATTTGCTCCGCAACTTCTAAATAACTCAGAATCACTCCTACACGGCATAAAACACATAATAAGTGCAAAACACTACTAATTAAAGTTCAACATAAGTAAAGTGCAGTGAATTAGAGTGGAATAAGCGACTAAAATACGAGTTTCTAGCCTACCATCAATGAGTGACAGTGTTGAAAGGTGCAGATCTTGGTCTTCTAGACCTGAGCATGTTTTTCATAGTGGATCCTCTGCGGCTCGACGATGGGTTACCAAGGTGAAGCTTTTGACAGGTATTTCAAGGGAATCTCGGGCCAACCTATGTCTCAGTAGCTTCCAAAGGACTCTCTTCCTGCCATTTTGCCATTCAATTTGGAATACTTGAACGGTCAATTCTCTTTTTATTTATTTATATATATTCACTTTCGCCTGAAAGTTTTGAGTATATTTTTTCAAAAAAATAAATAATTGAAAACACTGTTTGTTCATAGACCATGATCAGTTTTTGAAAGAAATTTGCATTTTTTTCTCAAGTTTCCAAAAACTGGTTTAGGGCAGTTTTGAGTGAAACTTTTTCTTTCATTCACAAAACTTCATGTTTTTTTCAAATAAAATGCATGTCCAAATATAACTTCAACTTCTAAAAATTATTTTTCAACACAACTTCAAAAACGTTTTTTTTCAAGTTTCAACCAAAAACACTAGCCAAATATTTGGCATTTGTTTGATATCATCTCGGTGCCCTCTGTTTTCCAACGCATCGGTACTAAATTTTGCATATTTTTTTTAAAAGAGAAAGACCATTCATGCAACAAACTTCGAAAAGAGAAAGAGTAAAACCAAGCATAAAAACCCACAGAATTATAAAATAAGCTGAATTCTCCACGTGTCACTTACAAAGACCATAAAATCCAAGTGTAGACCCATTTTACTTCTACTCCCCCCTTCTCCCTTCTCCATACTGATAAAATTAAGGTACCCGTATCTAAATCTAGAGTGTTGCTACCGATCAGTTTTCTAATTATACCCTTGGATGAGAAGTGTCAGCCTTTTGAATCTTCACCCCGAAAGTACCCTGCTCCTGAATAACCTTCTTCCCCTCCGAATCTATAAACATCTTGAGTCGTTGAAGAGAAACATTCTCCTCCGTCAAATCCAACATTATCTTACAACGATCAATACATGCTAACTCATTCTGAAGAGCTTTAACAGTAGCCGTATTAGCATCAAGACGGGCCACAATTTATGCCCGCGAAGCATTGACCTTCATATGATGAAGAGTGGAATACATGCAACAACATCAGCACGCAATGCGATCAAGTCATTGAAGTTATCCTAAGTGAAATGCCTTCCCGGTACGCAACCCTCACACTCAAGAGGCTTTACATATAGTTCAAATCTAGAGTATTATTAGGCAACTTTTGGCCTGCGATTTGGACAATATCTGCAGTGGGAGACCTTATGATAGGTAAATACTGAATGTTGTACTTCATGAGAAAAGATGACACTTCAAGTTTGGAAATGTTTTTAATGTCATTCTCAAATTAGTTATTAAAAATGTTACATCTTTATTTTGAATGTCCTAGAATATTTGACCCTTACAAATATCTATAGGAAAAACTCGATACAAACTTAATAATGACGAAGCATTCGTAATTAAAATATTTGTATTATGAGATACTAATATTTGAAACGAATACTAAGATTTAGCATTTTCAGGTGAGTTGTTTTTCACCTCCAACTTTGTGTTAAAAAAAAAAAAGAACTCTTCCTCCAACTTTGTATAGGCATTCTTCCCCTCTCCCCCCTCCCTCTTTTTTTTACTATCTATCTTGCCCCAGATTGAAGAGGGTGGTTGAAGCGAGGGTGAGGATGACGATGTCTGTATCCGACAACCAGTTCGGATTCATGCCGGGTCGTTCGACTACAGAAGCTATACACCTTGTTAGAAGGTTGGTGGAACTATACAGAGAGAGGAAGAAAGATCTGCACATGGTGTTTATTGACCTAGAGAAAGCATATGACAAGGTTCCTAGAGAAATTCTCTGGAGATGCCTGGAGGCAAAAGGTTTGTCGGTTCCATACATTATGGCGATTAAGGACATGTATGATGGGGCTAAGACTCGGGTTAGGACAGTAGGAGGCGACTCTGAGCATTTTCCTGTTGTAATGGGGCTACACCAAGGTTCTGCGCTCAGTCTGTTCTTATTCGCCCTNTTAACACACCATATTCAAGGGGATGTGCCATGGTGCATGCTATTCGCCGATGACATAGTTCTGATTGATGAGTCGCGAGCCGGTGTTAACAAGAGGCTGGAGGTTTGGAGACAGGCTCTTGAGTCTAAGGGTTTCAAGCTAAGCAGGGCGAAGACGGAATACCTGGAGTGCAAGTTCAGCGCTGAGCCAGGGGAAGTGANGTGGAGGTCGAGTATTAGGGTTGTAGGTTAGGAGGTAGTTGAGTCGTGCCTTACTTCGTAACATAGTGGGACTAGCCATGTAGGTTTATNTAAGATAACTAGTGGGAATGTTGTGGCTTACTATTTCTCTTTTCAGTGCAGGTTCTATTTACTAGCTATCGCTTTTGCTTTACATTTTTCTTCTAGATTTCATGAGGTTCCTATTTTTCTTATGACTGTTGTGGCGATACTAATATTTACTAATATTGTCTCCCTTTACTTTGCATCTTTCTTCTGGATTTCATGGTGTTCCTATTTATCCTATGATTGTTGTTGTGATACTAATATTGTCTTCCTTTTTGTCCCTTTTGTCTTTTCTTTTTTTTTGAGCCGAGGGTCTTTCGGAAACAGCCTCTCTACTCCT